AAAATGTGCCGTTCTCACTGGGGTGAGGTGGTATCTCATTGTGGTTTTAATTTGCATCTCCCTTATTACAAGTGATGTTGAACATTTTTTCATATGCTTGATAGCCATCTGTATTTCTTCTTTGTAGAAATGTCTTTTTAACTCTTCTGCCCATTTTTTGATGGTTGTTTATTTTTGTTGAGTTTTATCAGTTCTTTGTATATCTTTGTGATCAATCCTTTATCGCTAGTTTTGTATGAGAAAATTTTTCCTAATCAGTGGGCTGTTTGTTTTTTGTAATGTCTCTTTTGCTGTACAGAAGCTCTTTAACTTATGTAGTCCCATCTATTTACCCTTGCCTTTACTATCATTGCATTGGGTGCTGTATCTTCAAAGATGTCTCTGAAGTGTATGTCGTGTAGTGTTTGGCCCATCTTTGCTTCCAGGTATTTTATGGTTTCTGTTCTTATGTCTAGGTCTTTAATCCACTTAGAGTTGATTTTTGTGTATGGTGTGAGGTAGTGATCTAGTTTCATTTTTTTGCATGTAGCTTCCTAGTTTTCCCAGCACCATTTGCTGAACAAACTTTCTTTGTTCCATTGTATCTTCTTTGCTCCTTTGTCAAAGATTAGCTGCCCATAAACCTGTGGGTTTATATCTGGGTTTTCTATCTGAATCCACTAATCTGTATGTCTGTTCTTGTTCCAGTACCATCCAGTTTTAATTATTATGTCTTTGTAGTATAGCTTGAAGTTTGGGATTGAAATGCTTCTATTCTTTTTCTTCTGAGAGTTTGGCTATTTGAGGTCTTTTGTTGTTCCATATGAATCTCATCAATTTTTTTTCTCTTTCTTTGAAGAATGTCATTGAGACTTTTATTGGGATGGCGTTAAATCTGTATATCACTTTTGGTAGGATGGCCATTTTGATGATGTTAATTCTCTGGATCCATGAGCAGGGGATGTCTTTCCATTTCATGATGTCTTCTTGTGTTTCTTTTAACAGTGTTTTGTAATTCTCTTTGTATAGGTCTTTTACCTCTTTTGTTAGGTTGACTCCTAGGCATTTGATTCTTTTTGTTTTAATTGAAAAGGGAATGGTTTTTTTAATTTCTGCTTCTTCTGATTGGTTGTTTGTATATAAGAAAGCCTCTGACTTTTGTATGTTGATTTTATATCCTGCTACCTTGCTAAACTGGTGGATGGTTTTGATTAGTTCCTCTAACCAAAAGTTTAGAGTTTGGAGTTTATAGGGTTTTCCATGTAAATTAACATATCATCTGCAAATAAGGACAGTTTTACTTCTTCTTTCCCTATTTGGATTTCTTGTATGCCTTTTTCCTGTCTTATTGCTAGGCTAGAACTTCCAATGTTATGTTGAAGAGCAGTGGTGATAGTGGACACCCTTGTCTTATTTCCGATCTCAAGGGAAAGGCTTTCAGCTTTTCTCCGTTGAGGATAATATTGGCTGTGGGCTTATCATAGATGGCTTTTATCATGTTGAGGTA